AGCGGATAAATGGTGGCATCACTTCTTTTATTTATTTGTTTGTTTGTTTATTTATTTATTTTTTTTTTGTGACCGGTAAGGGGATCGCAACCCTTGGCTGTGTGTCGTCCGCACCGCGCTCAGCCAATGAGCGCACCGGCCATCCCTATATAGGATCCGAACCTGTGGCGGGAGCGCTGCTGCACTCCCAGCGCTGCACTCTCCCGAGTGCGCCACAGGGTCGGCCCATGGCATCACTTCTTATGAGGAACACCAGGAGAACAGTAGGTATGGGGATAAAAAGTAAGATGTCCACTCTGGACATGTTCAGTCCAAGATGATTTTACATAACTAAATATGATGGTGCTCAGATAGTTGGACATATAAGTCTGGAGAGAGTTAAGGGCAGGAGGCTGGAGTCATTACCACAGAGGACTAACTGAGGTCACTTAGGGAGTGAGTAGAGACAAGGAGAGGCTGCAGTAGACTGAGATGCGGGTGGTGGGGGACGTCTGCCCAGTGTGCGGGAGGACCCCATCATGGACACAGGTGGAGCTGCTGCACATGGAAAGGAGCTGGACTTGTAGTCCATTTCATCACTGTTTTCATCTTCTACAGGCAACGCACACCCACTGCCGGCACAGGGGTTGGGGGGACTGCTTGCACCACCTGCTCCTCTTGTGGTGCCACTGGAAAGAGGGTCCTGGGACTCATCCTGCAGCAATATGACACTTCTCAAGGAAGGCAGAGACATCACAGACACTGAGATGAGAAGCACAGCCAAAAAGAAACCCAAGGATAGAAGGTGTTTCAGGGAGGGGAGTCAGGTATCTCAGTCTGCTGAGAGGTCTAGCGAGGTGAGGACCAGAAAGTGGCCACTGGGTAGATGACATGGTCAGGGATGACTTGGGCTCAACAGGCAGGCTCAGAGAAGGGATGTGAGGAATTGCAGAGCAGGAGTCTGGAGAGGCAGAGAAATGGGGCAACAGCTGGAGGGGGTGTGGGGCAAGGGAGCTTTTCATTTCCCTAAAATGGGGGTTGCTGTAGCACATCTTGCAGAAAAGCAAGCTGATGGCACATGAGGGTAGGGGATCACCAGAGGAACAAAGGCCCCAAGTGAGCCGGAGTGGGCTCCAGCACCCTGGGGAGGTGTTGGTTTTAGGTAAGAGCGTGGAGGGCTGGTTTTAGGAGAGGAATAGTGGATTTGGTAGTGGAGAAGGTGAGAAGAGGAGAATGAGAATGAGCAGAAGGAGAATGAGGAAGGCCTCTCTCTCCCTTTTTTTTGAAGTTTTAAAATTTGTGGTAAAATACTCATACGGCGCACTTATCCAGTGTGCCACCGGGCCGGCCCAGGGGAGTTAGAGATTTGAGAATGTCAAGTATAACGTGGTTGTTTCTGGGAGTTGGGGGAGAACTGACAAGAGGGCCACAGGCAGTGCTGAAGGCCCTGTGGCCCGTGGTCACCCACCCTTTCTCCAGTCACATTTGGTGAGGCAGGTGCACAGAAAGCAGGAGGAGGATTTCACTGGAGAAGGAGTTTTGCCAGAGAAGCATGATGGGGTGAGGGGCAGGAATGATGACCCTGGACCATGGGATGCAGGTGGTAAAGAGGGAGGTAAGGGACACGAGCAGGGAATGGGGGGTGGGAAAGGAGGGAGGGCCAGTGCCTTAGCAATCTTGGGTCAAGGGAGGGGGCTTAGAACTGTTAGTGTGCAGGCACAATGGAAGAAAGTGGAAGATGGGAGGGAAGGGCAGAGAGAGAGAGATCTGAAATTGCCATTGGTGGGGCGAGGGCGAGACCATCTGAAGAAAGCAGGCCAGGGGCCGGCAGGCTAGGTGTTGAGATACTGAGGTGGTGCTGAGGGACCCGAGGCTGAGGATGAGGCAGTGGCAAGCAGGGACCTTTCCTAAGGGTGGCATGGTGGGCCAGTCTGACAGTTCAGCCACCTGCTAATGCAGGGAGCTCTTGCCATTATAACTGGGACATGAAATATTAATATCCCCTCATGAAACCACAGGCTGATGAGGCCTGCAGCAAGTTGACCACACTTGTTCACTGTCTGTTTACTGCAGAGTATGAATTCCATGAAGTCTGGGACTGTGTCACAAGCAGGCCTGGCACATCGCAGGAACCCAGCAAATACTTGTGGATGAATGAAAACGCTCCCAAGGTTAAAGGGCCAGTGAATGGCGCAGGAGAAACGCAAGCCTGGCCACTGGGCAGTGCTCTCAACCCTGGCTGCACATCAGAAGCCCTCGGGGAGCTTGGAAATACATGGATGCTGAGGCCCTGACCCAAGAGATTCTAAATGAATTGGTATGCCCTGAGACTAAGAGAGGCTCCCAGGGGAGGAAGAAGTCAGAGTGAGAAGCCCTGCAACCCACCGTCCACTTGTGACTGTGGCCTTTCCCTTGTGGTCCAAATGGAAATACACTGCTGCCCCCAGTAGCAGCCTGAGGGGAGAGGGGAAAGGCCAAGAGCCTCCAAGGCTCTAACAAAATTAAGATTTTATTGTTTAGCTTCTCACTAAAAAAGGGGTCGTGGCTCTACTTTCAAAATTCCATTCGTTCGCTGCTGTTCATAAAACATCCAAATCTGCTGTCTGCTCTACCTTCCATCCAGTCTCCCAGCACTCCCGTGTTCCGGCCACACAGACCTACTCCTCCTTTTTCATGCTGCTCTCCTGCCTGGGATGCCCTTTCTCTCATCCCTCAGTCCAGTGACTTCTTCCCTATCCTGTGAGGCCCAGCTTTCATGTCACCCCTTGCAGGGACCTCCTGGCCTTCACATGCAGGAACGGCAGCCCCCACAGCACCACAAATGCAGCCCTATACCACGTGCCCAAGAGTTGTGCTGACTTGTTTGCCTGTGTGTCTGAATGTCTCTGTGTCCCTAAGGCCTATCAGACTGCTTGACACAGAACTGATGATAAATGAAAGGGTGTTGAAAGAATGAATAAGTGAATTGTGAAAGTGTGAAATTATCCAAATATTTATTTGATGTTTCTATTACTTATGTATCTTAAACTTAATGTTGGGGTCTGCCTTGATTTCATGAAATTAAGGACTAATGACTCATCTTTAAATATCCCCTCAGTTATTGTACTGCAAAGTAAAAATATGTATTTTGAAATTGGTAAAATAAACCTTGCTTACCTCATCCAGAACAGCCTTTTTTTTCTGAAATAAAGGAATAAATTATGAATTAACATGAGAAGGATGAATTTTTCACAGTACAGTTTTCATTGCTGATCTTGCCCTGGCTGCAAGTCAACGAGGGATGGAAAAGCAATCAGGACGCACAGAGCCGATGGCAGCCAGTCCCTGGCCGTGCTCTGCGAGGCTGCACACACACTGACCACCTCCCTCTGTCCTAGCTGGTCGTGCTGAGGAACCAAACTCACTGGTAATGATGATGAATGCAAGAAAACATAAGTAAAGGATGGCAGAATTTGTTAGGAGAATCACACAGGTACTCCAAGTTAGACAGGAAGGGACGCCAGTGTCTGCTGCTGCTCTGTGCTGCAGGCTCCAGTCACAGTGACTCGACCAGGCCCAGACTGTGCAGCTAAGAGATACCCACGAGATATTTTTGCCAAAGATGTTTAACCTGAATCAAATCAAGCCTGTAGACCTAATTCCTCATTTACAGGAAATAAAGGGGACAGGGGAACAAGTTAAATGACACCATGAGGAAACAATCATATCCAGGATGTGGAAGATTCTATAAGACACTAACCTGCTCTCTTCAAAAAGAGAATGTCCTCTATAGTGACAGTTGGGTGGGATGTTTTAGGTTTGGTTCTGGGTAGATGCAGTAGTGTAGTCTGTGTGGTACTTTGACTGTATTCAATGTCAGGGCTGTCTGTGAGTGCCTCTGTGGCCTAGGCACTGGAGTGCTCAGCAGTTCCTTGCTGAAGTGAGTGACACTGGGCTAGGCCATCAGGGTTTTGAGTTCCTGAGAGAAATGCTGGGTGCCCTGTTGCTCCTTGGCTGAAGTGGGTGACCCTGGGCAGGCTCGCTGGCACCCAAGCCAGGATCCTGTGACTCTGTTAGATGCACTGGGGTGCTCTGAAGCTCCTCAGCTTAAACAGGCAACCCTGGGTGGGATTTCTGGCGGTTGAGATTAGGACCTTGGACTTTGAAAGAGATAGTGAGGTGCTCAGCAGCTCCTCAGCTAGAGTTAGTGACTCAGTGTAGTCACTGGGGTAGGATCTTGTGACTCTGTTAGATGCACTGGGGTGATCTGAAGCTCCTCAGCTTAAACAGGCAACCCTGGGTGGGATTTCTGGCGGTTGAGATTAGGACCTTGGACTTTGAAGGAGATAGTGAGGTGCTCAGCAGCTCCTCAGCTAGAGTTAGTGACTCAGTGTAGTCACTGGGGCTTTGGGCTGGGCCCTGTACCCCCAAAGGAGGCTGTGCAGCTGAAGTGGGCAACACTAGGCAAGGTCATTGCAGCTGTGGGTAGAACCCTATGCCCCCAAGAGAGATGCTGGGGTACTCTGCAGTTTCAATGTTGAGGTGGGCCACTCTGGGTGAGGTTGCTGGGTTCGTGGTTAGAGCCCTGCATGTTCAAGAGGGAGCGAATCTTTCTCCTCAAAAGCTGTTCAAGCATTAGGAGAAGCAACTGTAGGGATACTAGAAATATGAAAAAACAAGAAAATATGACACCCCCAAAGGTATACAATAATTCTCTTGCACCAGAACCCAAACAATAGGAAACCTATGAAATGCTTGAAAAGGAATTCTAAATAATAATCTTAGGGAAATTCAATGAGATGCAAGAAAATTCAGATAGATAACACAATGAAAGGAGAAAAACAATTCAGGATCTGAAGGGGAAATTCGACAAAGAGATACATATCTTAGAAAAGAACCAAGCAGAGCTGTCGGAACTGAAGAATTCATTCAATGAAAAAAAAAAAAAATACAACTGAGAGCTTAAGCAACAGGCTGGAGCAAGCAGAAGAAAGCA